CACCATTTGAAACTGAACGCCCTTGCATATCATCGCAATGGATACTCACAGGAACACGGTATGCAATGCTTTTTTCAAAGCTAACATCCCACTAGTCCGGAATACCTACACGGTTCCATCGTAAAAAAGTCGAACAGGAAGCTCGCAAATCGAAAGCTGCACAACGGCAATTGAAGCGCATCGCTACCGTGAATCCTGAGCGGGCGGGGTAAGTAGCTACCTATCAAACATACATAATCCTACTAAAGGTTCGTAGAGCAGACAGATGAAAATGAGATTCTCGATCAGGAGGCCATTGTAAAGCAAGTCGATCTGGGCTCAGCCACCAAGGTAGACTTTGCTTCTCTCTTGTTTTGATCTTCTAGCGATTTGAGCTCAATCTTAACTCTGGCCCCTACTGCATCGACTACTCCAGAAACGGCCGGTAAACTAGACAAAATAATTATAATGTTGGGTTTCAGGTTCCTCTCCTTATGTGGAAAGCGCGGGCACGTTGCGGCTTTTGACTGGATGACTAAGCGTTTGCTATTTGAAACAAATGTCGGCGAAGAATGCCATGACGTCAAGTATTTGCTGCCATTATTGACAATTTTCTTCCCTAACTTTTTAAGGTTTCTACATCAAGAAACATCCATTGCTGTCGCGCAGAAAGGCTACACTTACATTTACGATAATCAGGGCATTGAGCTGCACTGTCTTAAGCGTCTCAATGATATACAACGTCTAGAATTCCTGCCCTATCACTTCCTGTTGGTAGCCATGGTAATCTGCTGTTTGGCCTCGTGATGCCTCTGTATTGTAGGCAAATAATGGCTTTATGTACTATTTAGACTGTTCGGTCGGAGAGGTTGTTGCCTCTTATCCTACCTTCCTTGGCTCGCTTGGCGTGGCCTGCCAGAACCCCAGCAATGCAGTCATCTTCACCGGCCACCCCAGTGGCACAGTGTCCATGTGGACTCCGTCTGAGAAGAACCCAGTTGTGAAGATACTTTGTCACAAGTCTGCCGTGCAGTCCCTTTCTGTTCACCGTTCCGGCCAGTAGGTGTACATGTCTATTTTGTATACTTTTTTTTCCTAAAAAGGTACCTTGCGTCCTGCGGTCTGGATCGAGCGCTAAAGATTTGGGATCTGCGATCGACATACGACTGTCTGGCAGAGATTACCCTGCCAACCCCTGCCAATTCAATCGATTTTAGCCAGTTGGGGTTGCTTGCAATCGGCTCCTCTACAACGGTCCAGGTTAGTTTAAAAGAATCTCAGCAGAACTACATGCCTCAGGTTTTCTTATTATGTCTAGTTTTTGGTAACTTTTTTGTTATGCGTGCGTCTTGAACTACAGTGTTGAAAATTGTTATTGTCAGGTAAAGCTAACTAATAGAACTCAAAAGACCCGAATGACCTAATTTGACATGTTTGCCGTTATCGGTCAGCCGTATCAGAAATTTTTGTCGGAAGTTTTCCAGTCCATGAGCTAGCTTGCGTACTCCGTTTTCTGCAGGAAGACAGTGATTTAGAGCCTCCCTTGAGTAACTAACGGTTCTTATCACC